GTAGGGAAAAACTCTTAACAAACCTTGTTCTGTCGTTCTGCTGATGCAGCTTCTGAACTGAGGTCAGCTGTAGACTATGCGGTTTCCAAAGAACATGAACATTCTCTGGAGTTGAGTTTGTCCCGTCGACATCCAGGCTGTACTGGTCTTGTGAGCTATGGTGGCCAGAGTGTGCAGCTTTGTGCTCTGCACTGGAAGTTTGTGGTGACTTTAATGTTGATGGTGTTTGCACTGCTGTGCAGTTGTTGGGAGAGACAGTGCCTGGAAGGACACAGTCTCCTCTGTCTTCATCAGCACGGCAGTGTAGTTCCCTGTATTCTTTCCATGTTCCTCAAACTTTTTTCTATGTAATTGCAGCTCTGTGGCTGTTCATTTGCTTTTAGGAAGCAGAATGCAGCCTGTGAAATGCCTGTAAAGGGCTCTGCTGCAGGGGGGATAGCTTCCCTGCTAGGGATTCAGACTCCTGCCTTTGGGGTTGTTAAGTGGACTCCTTGCTCACCTCAAGGCCTCTCCCCATTCCTGGAGGCCCCCCAGCTGTGAAGGCAGGCTTGTTGTGGGGTGTGGTGTAAAATCTCTGTTTTAAAGCAGACTGGCTCTTTTTTCAGTTGGTGTCTACTTTCTGCCACAAGACTTCATCTTTGGAGCGGATGGAGGAGGGAGGAGATGACGATGAGGAGGATGATGAATTGGACATCTTTGGGGGTTATGACAGCTTCCGGAGCTACAACAGCAGCATGGGCAGCGACAGCAGCTCCTGTCTGGATGAGTCTAGTGATGATGAGGTGGCAGACCGGGAAGCTGGAGAGCTTCCGACCTCTCCTGTGCACCAGCCGTCCACAGGCCGGCTCACAGAGGACAGCGGCTCCGAGCCAGGTACTGCACTGCCTGCCTGTTCTACCTAAAGCACGTGTGTGATGGAAAGAACAAGGGCTAGGGGAGCCGAAGGATGTGTGACTGCACCTTGAGTATGCTTTGGGAGCAGCACTGGATTGAGACTGCATTTTCTGGGCTGTGTGGGGGAGCTGCTATGTGTAATGAGGGTTACCTGGGCTCAGCTCTGTCCTTGTAGTGCATCGACCTTGCCAACTGCTCACATTTTTGTGCCTTCCTTCTCTCAGCTGTGTGTGAGATGTGTGGGATTGTGGGCACCAGGGAGGCTTTCTTCTCCAAGACCAAACGTTTCTGCAGCGTCTCCTGCTCCAGAAGCTACTCCTCAAACTCCAAGAAGGCCAGCATCCTGGCCAGACTGCAGGTGAGTCAAAACCCTTCCTTCTTCCCAAACCCTTCCTTCTTCCCTGGGGATGGAGCAGAATGTGCCTGTATGCAGGGGTGCATGTTGCTCTCTAGTTAAAGATCAGACTGCCATTACCAGTGGCTTGTTATTCCTGCCTGAAGTCTGCAGAGGATGTATGCCAGCTGAAAAGTGGTGCTCCCTAGAAGCTGAAGAAGGACACATTGATATTTTATCTGCTGTTTCTTCTTGTTCCTGTGAGCATTAGTAAAAATTGTAGTGACCTGAAAATTGCCCCAAGGAAGAGATGCATGCCCTGCTGGCCATTTGCAGGGACTGGCTTCCTCTCCTGTGCCACTAGTGTTCCTAACGTTCCTTCTTTTGCAGGGGAAGCCACCAACAAAGAAAGCTAAAGTCCTGCACAAGGCAGCCTGGTCAGCCAAGATTGGGGCCTTCCTCCATTCACAGGGCACAGGGCAGCTGGCAGATGGGACACTGACAGGCCAGGATGGTGAGTGTAGGAGGCGTGAGGAGATGCAGCTATTAGAGCCACAGAAATGGGGGCACCTGGAGGGCTGTAAGGTCTACAGTCTACGCTTCCTCTTCTCTGGTACACTGCCTTGTACTGAAACGATATGTGTGGTTCACTCTGACGCAGGCTGGCAGGATACGTCTCTCCCTGCCAGTGCTAACGGAGCCCTGGTGGGTTCCTGCCGATCCGCTGTCACAGCCTCATCCTTGCTCCTGGTGCAACTTGGCCTGGAGCGTAAGCTCTGTAGTCACAGTCCCATCAGGTGCTGACTTCTGTTGGCAAAGTTGACTTAAAGGTATCCTGCTGCTCCCAGCTGTTCGCTGCCTAATTGCCTGTGGAGTTATATTTAACCTGAGTCACTCACTGATCAACTTGACGAACAACCAGTCACTGTTCCTG